TGAGGTGACTCCACCCCTCGCAGGCATTACACTTGACTGAGGTGGAGTTGTGATGTAATCGTCTCCGGCATACACAGCAGGTGTAGGTTTCTGGCCCTGGGTTTGACTCGATGTCAGCCCTGAGTAGAAGAAAACGTAGTGAATGTAGCCCTATGGACGGACAACTTCTGAGAAACTTCGCCGACCTAAACGGGGTTAGATCGCCGAAACAACAGCCCTTGGTCGGGTAAAACCCGAGTCATTCCAGTACGTAGAACCGGCTGTCGTGGGAATGTACATGTTGGTAGTTGGGTCTGGTTAAAAACACACACCAATTTTTCTTCTTTTACCTGCACGTCGGTCAAATTATAAGTTTTTCGATTTGAGGAAGTTTTGAGTAGATTGATCTAAAAAATTATCTAACTTTTCCTTAAAACTCTCTGTTTCGTTTACATTAGCGACGCTGTGAGTAAATTCATTGAAATCTTATTCAAAAAAGGCTCAGACTGCAATTGCAGTCAAAACGGCACTTTACAAAAATCATACTTCAAAGTTCATAAACAAATTCTTACTATCAATTCGATATTTCAAAATTTTCGGGATCCCGGGATTAATGCAAGCAAATCCCGGTATTTCCGGGACGTCAAAAACACCGGGATCCCGGGATTGGCATCCCGATCTGTATCTGGCATGTATCTGTGTTCGTATGGAATAATACCTTAAGTCAGAAGGCTGGCTTTTGTATAGTGTACCATTCGCAGCTGACGATTACGAATATCGCACTGACACCGTGCCCTTGAAGACCCTTGGCAAATAAACGTAACAAATAATTCTGATGCAATCAAGACAACATTCTTTGTGATTTAAGGAACAAACGGGATGGTGTATTATACTAAAGCAAGCCTCACGACTTAAGCTTATATACCACACGATCACAGATATATTTACATATGTATGAATGTAAATTCCTTGTAAACTAAACTTTCTTCTAGATGAATAAAAAAAATTAAAAATATGTGGCTGAATCCACGGCTAATCCGGAATTGGTTGCAGTTATAGATGCCGATGCGGGTAATAAAAAAGCTATACATACTTTAAATTTAATACCTTTGTACATACAAATGTATGTATTTTTGGCTTTTTAGTTTTGTGCTCTTTTGTTTAATTTTGCTTGTTTACAAATATGAGATGTTCGTTTGGCAGTTTATGTATCATACCGTTTCTAAGACCTAACTGTTGGACCCAACAGTTGACAGCATTTCCGATACAGTTGAGGTAAACAGTTGCATCCAAAATGTATTCAACAAATAGTCTGTTCCTTTGAACTTCGGACTAAAACCTGTGGAACTGTCAAACTACAAGTTTACTCTCTCAAGTGAGAGTAAAAGGAGAACAGATGCAGAAGGGCAAGGGAACGCAAAAAGCACTATTTCCTGTAAAAACGTCAGTCGGTTTGTTTACATGTCATTTGTACAAAACTGATTTGGCTGAAATATCACTAAATAATTATTAAAATCTATACATATTCAAACATTTCGTTGTTTAATTCCATTTTTTTACAAATATAAGGTTCTTTGCTTCCACCGTTTACTGTTTTTGTTTGCACATGCAAATCAGCTGATCGTTTGACACTTTTCATGAACTTACAGGAAAAGAAACTCCGGACTGAATCCTGTAACTTCTGACTAGGAATAGTTGCTCAGTTACTCTCTCCGCCGAGGAGAGCAAGTAAGTACATTTAAAGTTGGGTAATAAGTAAATACGTTCGGCTTTTCTTAAATATTTAATGTAAGGAAACCAAGATGAAACGGAGCAAAACGTTTGTATGAAATAAAAGTCAGGACTCGAAAATAGTGCGATGTTTGTGGTTTAAAACAGTTGCGAATTAAGACGGCAGCGATGGGAAGAAAGCTGTGGTGTTGTACTACGTGATTACTCTCGCGTTTGTGAAAACCACTTCAAGGAAAGTGATTTCATAAGTTGTCCGTCCGAATCAAGCACTTTCAAACGAGCTCGTTTATACCCAGGCGCAGTCCCAATGCCATACGAAATAACTGAAACAAGTGAGGATTTAGAACGCGATCAGGATACATTATTTGTTGATGTCCAAACTCAAACAGACGACTCTTTAGAATGCACGTTGAAAAATATTTAATGTAAGGAAACCAAGATGAAACGGAGCAAAACGTTTGTATGCAATAAAAGTCAGGACTCGAAAATAGTGCGATGTTTGTGGTTTAAAACAGTTGCGAATTAAGACGGCAGCGATGGGAAGAAAGCTGTGGTGTTGTACTACGTAATTACTCTCGCGTTTGTGAAAACCACTTCAAGGAAAGTGATTTCATAAGTTGTCCCAATGCCATACGAAATAACTGAAACAAGTGAGGATTTAGAACGCGATCAGGATACATTATTTGTTGATGTCCAAACTCAAACAGACGACTCTTTAGAATGCACGTTGAAAACAGAAATATTTCTTCTTACCGAAATAATTAAAACCATGCAAGCAAGTATAGAAGAGCTTAATTTAAAACTGCTCGAAGCAGTCTTTAATGGAAAGCTATTTCGCATGAAAAAAATTTAATTTCAAAATTGTTAGAGTTAAGCTCACATATAAAGTTGGAAACAAATAAAATCTAAATATAACAAGTAATTTTTAGCAAAGAAAAACCGACTTCAACTCCCATATAAAAAAAAAAAATATATATATATATATCATGATCCACTGATCGGATCTCAACCAGATTAGTACGGGACCACCTCTGAGACACTACCTTTCCGATGCAAAAAGAATTATCGAAATCGGTTGACGTGGTCCAAAGTTATGCGGTAACATACATACAAAAAAAACAAAAAAAAAAAATATTCCGACGAACTGATAACCTCCTCCTTTTTTGGAAGTCGGTTAAAAATAAAAACACAAAAGCATAAAACTTGGGAAACTAAAAACAAGAAAATTGCTAAAACTATTTCATAAACAATTTGTTTTATTTTATTGACAAATGTAAGTAAAACAAAACTATAATGGAAATAAAAGCCTAGGGCATCAGTGCTGACAAGATACATGTAAAACTAGGGGTTAATTCGTTTGTTTATACTTTTTGACATAATAGTACCTTAAAAGAGAGCCTTGTTTAATACACCTTGGTTGCATCTTAGAAGCGCGCCCATTCTCTCAATTCGTCGGCCACGATTTTTTTATAACGTTTGCAAACATTTTAAAATCATATAAAATTGAAAATAAAACAAGTAATTTTTAGCAAAAAAACCGACTTCAATTCTCATAAAAAAATACATATATATATATTTCATGATCCAATGATAGGATCTAAACCAGATTAGTATGGAACCACCTCTGAGACACTGCCTTTCTGATGCAGAAAGAAATATCGAAATCGGTTGACGGGGTCCAAAGTTATGCGGTAACGTACATAAAAACAAAATGTATATTCCGGCGATCTGATAACCTCCTCCTTTTTTGAAAGTCGGTTAAAAATTATATTAGTTGCGTTTTTTTACTCATTTCCAGTAAAATCCAGTAAAAGTTAATACGAATTTTCATGTTTTGGCGTTTTCGTACGCAAAAACTTGCAAAGTAGGGGAAATTGAGAGAGCGAAAAAGGACAGTTGAAGTTGCAAGTTTTTACTGGATTTTACTGGATAAATTTTTACTTGTGAGAATTTGCCAGTACGAAAAACAGC